AAGACGTGACCTCCACAGAGGCTGAATGAGGGGCAATATTCATGTCCAGGTAACGTGTGCAGCTGGTAATAAAGCAGACTGACTCATTTCCTTCTTATGCTCTCCATCACACCTGTTTTATAACATTTAGAGCCACCCACAGTGTTTGATTTTTGAACCACAGATATCGTTTTCAGGCAAGGACAAATCTAAAATAAATGCTAAAATGCTAACGCTAAAAGATTTCTTCTACTTCTACTAAACAAACTAAAGGTGAGGCTCTGAGATTTTGATTGAAGAAATGTTGTGACAATAACTCCACATACAGTTTTTAGGGAGGGGTGACATTGAGCCAGCCCACATCCTGTTGCCTGTCTCTGTATGAACTCTTCCAATGCTTAAAGGGATGACCGAAGGTAGGGCTGTTCCATATAACGATATATATCGGACGACGATATAAAAACGTCTATTGTTTCATTTTACGCTATCGTTTGTTTCGTGATGTCGCAAAATAAACTGTTTACGGCAATATTTTTTCACCGTTTTGATGGTCACTGTAGTGGCTATATAAATTTCTTAAAGTTCTCTCTTTCTCTTATATTTAATATAACCACACTACCGACGACAAGAGCCTGTTTTTATGCGTTGTCGTTATCAACAACGAGGGTAAAACCATCGCGTGTCCGCTTGTTTATTTTCTACATAAACCTTTCACAATAAAGCTCAAGATCCTGTTAAGACCTTTCAAAATAAACTGAATCACGTGAAAGAGTATGCAGAGTATTTACGGATGAGAATTAAAAAAGAGCCGCCAGGTGCTAAAAAATAAACCTCAGACTCAAACGTTAGAACAGGCTTTTCCCCGCAGCACGCCGTGTAATAAATACCCACAAAGAAAACGGCAGCCGTTACAACTTATGTCTAAAAATGTGTCGTTTCATGCATCGGTTAAAACACTCAACTCCAGGTACATGACGCGCAACTGGAAACACTTCCCGCAAGTCGAGCTGCCCGAGATTCACAGAATTTACAGAAAATGTTAAATTTTTGTGATTTATATCATTATCGGGACTAGAGCCAGGCGATATGAGATTTTTTCATATCACGATATGTTTTTTTCATTTCAGGCGATAACGATATCTATCACGATATAAGCCAAATATATTTGTAAGATTTAAATGTGCCATTGCTCACAAGTAAAATGTGAAATAATCAGCAGCTTGTTTTGATTTAAATATTTATTTCCCATAATAAGTTCAACAGGGTAGATGTACTTAAGGAACATGAGACTTTTTCAGATAAATAAAGGCAAATATTGCAAACTACACAAAAGGCAGCCGCTAAAGCGTTTAAGTTTCAAAATAGAACAAACAAAACAGGCTACTAAATTGTCAATTCCACTTAGAAACAAAATTTTAATTCTAAAAATAAATCTTAGTTTGTTTTACAGAAGAACAGACAAAATTGACTAACTTTTGTCAATATCAAATAAACTGAGAACTAAAAGGAAATTCTCAATCTCTCCTTGTTGTGTAGCTTAGCTTTTCAAACAGTTTTAACAGTTACTTTAGTCTGACAAAAGCCGAATGACGAATTAGCGCTTCCAGTCAGAGATTGAGCATGCACCACTTTATTGGATTTCCTTGTGCTGTACGTAACAAGTCACGTGACGTGACGCTGCGGCTGTGATTGGTTTGGCTCTGCGCTACTTAATTTGGATTGGCTGTTCTGTTTTTTTTTTAAGAGGACAAGAGCGGCGAGGCCTATCGCAATAGTTTAATTTTTCTATCGAGAAAAAGTTGTTTCGCAATACATATCATTATCGTTCTATCGCCCAGCTCTAATTGGGACGATAGATGTCTTATATCGGGATATGAGATTTTGGTCATATCGCACAGCCCTAACCGAAGGAATGAGACAGGATGTGATGTCTTAAAGGGATGGGACATGTGCCTCTAGATATATTCTTATTTCCTTACACACATCTTTAATCTCAATTAACTGGCTGCTGTTGGAGTCATGAAAAACATAAAAAAGTCAAAAGTTTTTCAGTTTGCCAGACTACATTTCCCATGATCCAGTTTGCTTGATTTATATAGACGTTATATAAAAGGTGAACACACATTCAAGCTCTAAAATGTGAACACAGGATCTCTGTTAACAATATGACTATGACGTCATCAGGGTTATTTCTGTGGACTCTAGCCCTCTACAGTGGACAAAGGAGATGTTATACAACTCTTTCCACGAACTGAGCAGCACTTCTGTCCAGTCAAGTGATCATCATGTGTAAAAGTACATCGGTGTTAGTACATCTTAGTAGTTTTCAACATGACAAGCAATTAGAAAGAATCTAGGTTTAAAGAAATTGCACATTGCCTAACTTTTCAGATCCAGGGGTTTCTTCTATCTTTCATATACAGTCTGTGAAAGAGACATGCTAGGAATAGGCTGAGTACCTTTTGCATCAGCAGCCTGTGCATGCAGATGCACACAAACTCTATGTGGGTGTTTATCAGAGAGCATGCCTGTGGAAGGACAGAATCCTTGGGCAACATTCATACACTCCTTACATAACAGTGACGCTTAAACAATCATCTCCATAATAGAGGAGATTAAAGGAGATGAGATGCATGCAAGCCTAAACTTGCTGCTTACCACTAAACACCTGGTAGATATACTGGACCTACCCATTAATGACCAGTTGACTCATCCTAGGGTTCAAATGATCACATTAGGCCGTGAAGCAATTTTAAGCACAGAATATTGCATGTGTCAATCATTAATATGAATCTCTATCAAACAAATGCTTCTTATTTTCTCTCCCATTTAAAATGCCAGGACTGATGGTGTCCAAGTGCCTCTGAGTCACTTCATGACTGTCACAGGCAGACAGCTTCCTGACTAAGCACTCAGAAATTAAATGGAAATTTGTGGTTCATTGGCTAGGCTCATACACACAAACACAACACTCTCTGGCTTCACTGTGACCACTGCTACTTAAGAGAGGCGACGGTATAAAGATGTAAAATCCACAGCAGTAAGGAAGCAGCCCTGAAAGTAACACTTAAACAGACTCATCACCGCATCACTACACATAGCACGAGTCTGTCCGAGCTCTTCCACAGGGACTGTCTGCTTACATCAGCCTTTCGCAGGCGTCACCTCCCTTCATGTCTGATCTACACCTTCAGCTCAATGCTCAACCTGACTTTGTTGAAGTTAGCTTAGAATGATATCTCTTTTGACATTTTCCCTTACCGGTTATTGGCCTTGCTTTTTAATCACAGCATCTGCACTGAGCCCGTGATAGAGCGGACAAACTAGGGAGGGCATGTGCACAGGGGAGGCAGCGCATTTGATTGACTGCACCAGGGGCTTTAGATGCATAACCAGAAATCCCTCACAGGAACATCAGCATTCCTTGTCATGACTGGCCAAAAGGAATTAAACCAAGTCACATACAGCATCATAAAATACTAATCTGATCTGATCTGACTGTCAACTATAATCTAGATCTGGACAGATATACTCATTGGCTGATACTGGCAAAACGTATGTCATCCAATACGCAGTTAAAAGATAATATTATCTTAACCACAACAACATGCATTAAAAGATGCTTGGGATTATCTAGAGAGTATTATAAAAAAAAATCTCACTGAGTGGCTCCACATCCGTTGTTTACGATGCGATGTTATCAGCACTGTCTGCACCACACGGAGCAGAGCAAGATCATAAAAACCTCACCACAATCACAGCAAGCAGTCAAGCAGTGTAAAATAATGCAGAAAATTTTTAACAACGACCCCACAAATAGCCTTGTCAGTGCATTCTCGAACAAAGGTTATGGATATATATGTAAACTTTTTTTTTGCTTATATCAGGTTCAGATTCTTTTAATACCATAAAACATCGATAAACTCATATAAATCCAGTTCACTATGACCCCAAACAAACTCAGTATCTAATGATTCACCATGAACACGTTAACTAAGCAGAACTTAGTTTGAAAATAACCTTTAATTTGAAATGTTTTGCTGTTTAGTAACAGCACAGACTGCCTCCCCTACAACCCCACGGATTATGTGTTACACAAGGTGCTACATGAATTTGAATTATTATTATTATTATTAATAATAATAATAATTCAAATTCAAATTATTATTAATATTATTATTAATAATAATAATAATAATAATAATAATAATAATAACAATATTAGTAGTATTAAAATGTTTAACCACATAAATAAATGTGAAAAAGCTACGGTATTCTTCAATTTGGCATCATTCATTCAGCTGATAGCATTTAACAGGGAGTTGCTGGGATAGTTAGTTCAGCCACTGCAGACATGAAACTCTCTTGCTAGCCCAAGCTTTCCTGATATCAAGTACTTTTTCTTGGAACCTTTATCGGCTGAACTCTCCAGAGGATCCAGACACATGAAAAAAAAAAAGTTAAGCTAGCGAATGAACCGTAAGATATTGCACACCTGTCTGTTTGTTGAGCTGACCATTAGCTAAAATTTACTCACTCCGTTCTTTAGTTATACTTTTGTAATAAAGGCTAGTAAGAAGGTTATAAGAGATTTATATAAATAAATGCGAACTAAAGTTAACAAAATGTTTTGCATATCGGCTAACAAGAAAACTAACAACCAAAAAAACTGTAAATACGTTAGCTAGCTTAACCATCCTGTGGCTGGCTGACAGCTTCACTGTTGCTCATATCGCGTTAGCCAACAACCGCGAGCTTAAACAATCAGCATCCCTTCCGCGTTGACCGTTATACATTATACAGCTTAAAACACATTTTATTAGTTACAATGAGGCTTACCCTATATCAGTATTATTCCAAATCATGGGCAGTTCCAGCAATACATGCGGTGTCTGTCAATCCCTTCACCAAAGCCTCAAACAATGGAGGGGAAGCGAGGGGAGGGAGGGCAACAAGCGGTCATCAAGTGGCGACAGAAAGCCTAATGACGTCTTTATTCAGCGTCAGCAGTCTGTGTCAAATTAAAAGTCCTCTCAAAACATTTTCGCTGGGGCTTATTTTGCGGTTTGTCATTGACAGTAAAACTCGTTACTTTTCCCATAAAGTTATACAAAATGAAGGAGCGGTGTGAGCTGTAAACGCTAAGTCTTTCAGCATAGCGGGGTGTCCTTGGTGTTTTTGCTTTGTTTATGTGAAAGCGCGGAGCTGCTGTGGGGTGAAGGTAAGCTGCTCCGTTTCTTTTCTCATATAACTGCCAGGTTTTACTTTAATGCTCAACCAGCCAAATATATATATTGTATGAATGTTCTTCGCTACCAAAACAAAAGCTCCCATAAATGTCCTGATATTTAATAATTTAATATTTAATCCGTGCAACAACTAATTATCTAGCTAAAATGTGACAGTTAGCTTAACATGCATATTAATTAATGGACGACAATAGAATAATAATCATCCACTGCTTTTACTGAAATGGCTGCAGTGAATGTAACCTTGAAGTGGGGATGAGTTTGATTGCGAAATATGACATGAGGACGACCTTTAAAAAAGAAAGAAAGAAAGAACTATAAACAAAGACGTTAATAACAGAGCACTCTGTTTTCCAGGATCACCCCCAGCCCTCAGTTTTCCCCAAAGCTAAAACAGCGACTCTCCTGAACGGGGACACTCTTTCCATTTCCATCAGCTGATGCAGCCAGGTAAGCTGCAGCCTGGATGGATGAATGGCCGAGGCTGGATGTAATGCTGCTGCTGGCTGCTTTCTAGTCTAGTGGAGGTGTGGGGTGGTGGGGGGGGGAGATTCTCGGTGTGTCTCACATTACATTGCTGCTCTCTCTCCATCGCGATCGGTCTCCTGCAGCCTGCGAGCGGATGAATGCCCGAGTCTGTGGTTTTGCCATCGCCAAAAGGACTCCATGTCTTTCTTGGTAAGAATATCGCTCCGCATGTGGTTTTGCTTGGTTGATGCCCTCTGGTGTAGCTGAATGGGTACCTTGTTACTTGTATAGTCACGAATCAGTTGTCTCAAGCCGGTGCTGGGACATTCTGAGTTCAATCAGTCTAATGTATAGACATTCAGAAATGCATTTGGCATCAGCCGATTTCAAATCAGTTTTTTGTTAGTTTGTGAGTAACACGAGCAGTCAGCCTGTTATTATACATGTAAATCTGAGAAGGTTAGATATTAATACTGGCTACCTGTGCACATCCCTCACATCTAAATGGTGCATCTGATTATGTATGCAGCTCTTCTCTCACTCTTTTGGGACACATAAGCTGCCTCTTTGCTGCCTGTTACCATCACTCTAACTCTCTTTCTCCATTCACCATTTACGATAAAAGCCCCGGTGAGAGTGCCTCCATGGCCTCTACTTCCCCTGTGCTTGCTTCTCTGCCTCATTTCACTCTGACCCTATCCAATCCCCCGTGCTGCCTGGCAGCACATCACCCTACACTTTCCTCCCCCCTCCTCCTCCTCCTCTTCCTTTAGAGCATGTCTCACATGTGCTCCTCCTCCCCCTCCTTCACTAGGACTGTTCCTGCATCTCCCACGCTCAGGTCCAGCCCATGGACATAGAGGAGCGCTATGAGGACATCAGCCACCAGTTCCTGGTCAGTAGCCAAGACTCTGTCAGCATGGAGACAGGCGTCACACTGATGCTCTTTCATCGTATTATCATTTGTCACCTGTCTGGAGCTGCTTACTCAGTCTTGTTAAAGACAGTTTTAAAAGAGAATGAAATCATTTTAAAGATGACCTATTAGTATGACCTATCATTTTTTTCTCTTTGAAGTTTGAAATTAAAATGAAAGATTAGATTAGAAAAATTAGGTCTCAATGTAATTATCGTTGTAGAACATATATATATATATATATATATATATATATATATAAAAAACAGGTTGCTTTAGGACTACATTAATATGTTTAGACTGACTAGACCTGCAGAACGGTACAAGTGTGCAGTACAAGTCCCTACACCACATTATACAACACTTCAAATATTTGTATACCAAGCTAGTAATTATGCCAATTATAACAGCCTAAATTTACATATGATTGACTTAAATTTTTATTCAGCATTTACAGCAGTCTGAAGATTTGTGCCTCCTAGACGGCCAAAAATACACTGATAAGTGTGCATGCACTCACCACATTATTAGAAACTTCATTAGACCGTATTTAATGTGGTCATTCATTGGTGAATCAATATGTAGCTTAATAGGTTCCCTTTAATTCTAATAATAATACCTGAGGCTCCAATAAATTAGCATCCTACGATTCCCATGATGCAACTTTTTTTTCTTACATTTTGAATGCTCTGCTATATTATACCCTCAGGTTTTGGGGCGTTACTATGACATCATCAGACTTTACTCCAAAGCTCCTTCCCCCACCCCTTCACCAAAAACATTAAAATTTTCCAGTCTAGATGCTTTCTTCTATATTGAGTACTTTATATTTAATATATACATTATTAGCAACTTAATAATAATTATGAATGTACAGCTAATGTGTGATATCACTTCCTCTTGCTGATGCAGAGTAAATCCTGGGGTGGAGTGTGTATCCCTGAAATCCGTCCAAGACATACACAAGTGTCTCTGTGAAACAGACATCTCCAGAAAGCCTCTGCATCACTAATACTCCCAAGCATCCTCCCCTCACTCCCTCCCCTTTGTTCCTCTCTGTGTTACAGCGCCACCTGCTGGCAGCCACCTCACACAGTGTGGAGCAAAATAGAAACCCAATGTCACTGTGACACTTCATCTCCTTTGAGGTTGTAGCTGGAGAAGATTGTAGGGTTAAGTGGCAGCTGGTGGCTCAACAAATGGAGGAGGACAGGAGGAAATCCTGCCCATTGGTATTATTTTACATTAGCTGCTTGCTTCCAGTTTGTGAACACAACTGGAACAATTTCAGTGCAGTCAGTACAGAAATTAGTGGGAAAATGTTCAGTGAACACATCGGTGGTGTGTTCACGGTAAACATATTTGAGACTCGTCAAATATGTAAATGAATGTTTCCTTCTGCTCTGGGCTCGACTGCATTCCTTTTAAAACCTTACAGATATTTAGTTGTATGCAAAGATGGGATTGCTTGAATCAGGCAATCGTTGCATTTAATTTACATTTAAATGAAATAATTAGGAAAAAGTGAAAATAACAGAATAATGATGATTCTTTTTTGCAGAAGAGATGCTTTCAAATATTACAAAGTAATGAATGTTGTAAATTGTGAAGACTGACTTTGATTTGCTCTATTTTTTCAAAGCAATTGTTGCATTTTTTACTACACAACATGTACTTGATGTCTTTAGCTGTGGTGTTCCAGGATAAACCATTGTTCCGTCCCTGCTGACCTCATACACTTCTGTTGTTATTCAGAGACTTTACACCCTCGGGCCTTATTTATCTTCTCTCGCATAGCTGTTTAGGCATGCTAGTATCAACAAAGGTAGATTTTATTCAGTGCTTAAACTCTGATGTCATCTGAAACAGAACAGACATACTTCCAGGGATTCCTCTCTTTAGTATTTTAGTCTGCTGTTTTTTGTATATTGATGGACTATCACAGTGATTTAAATACCTTAGATATGAAGAGACACTCAAAGTCAGACTCTTCAGGATAAAATGGTTCGGTCAAAAAGCTTTTTAGTCTTTCCATCAGGCTTGTTCCACATTTCAGCACCAACACTGCTTCATAAGCACCAGAGAACAGGATACAGTCTGTGTCGATTACATGTCCGTAAGGTTAATAAGACTCGCAAGTTTATAAAATCTTCAACAAACTAATTTTGTTAGCAACATATACACATTTGTGCTTATAAACACTAATGATTTATTTCGGGAATTTGTGTATTGCATGACTTTTCTTAACCTCTTAAATACATAGTGGCACCTCTGCACTATTTGAAAAGCCATTTGCCAAAAAAAACCTTAGACTTTGCACGAGTTATGACAGAAACAGCATATAGTGTTGAGAGTGAGGAGCCAAATATGAAGACAGTCAGGACTGATGAAGGTCGCAGATGATTTCCTGTACATTTTAATCTGTGTATGCTCTCTCCTGAATCATGTTTGTTTTCTGTTCTGCTGGCCTTGTTTGTGTGTACGTCTCTGCAGAGCTGTGACGGTTCTGAGTACACTCTGCAGGGCCCAGCGGGTGGCGATGACATCACAGGGTTGTCGGCCGAGCCGGCCCACTACCAGCTACTGTCAGAGCTGGGTAAGGACACACATCCAAGCATAAAAATGAGTTAAAGATCTTTAAAAAAATTGCAGTGCAATTCACTTCATGCCAACTCACCGTGTCACAGGACGGGGCTTCAATAATCTGAGCCAGGTGAACATGGCTCGCCACATCCCTACTGGCCAGCTGGTGGCCGTCAAACAGACCAACCTGGACGAGTGCACCGAGGAGGAGCTTCTGCAGCTCATGGTGATTGCAGCCCTACATGCTTTCATGTATTTGAGATATACGCGGTTGTACACGTGTCTTTATCCACTGGATATTTCTATATTAAATCCCAGAATGAGGTACTGCTGTCCCGTCTCTTCCGTCACCCCAACCTGCTGACTTCTCGCCTGGTTTTCAGCTCCTGCTGCCAGCTGTGGGTCCTGACACCGCTCATGGCCTACGGTCAGCCACAACCACACATCCACAGCTTTTTATCCTAATGTAGAAGCTTTCATGGCTTTTTTTATTTTTCCTGTGCTGTGATTTTTATAATTCTAGCACTAGCTCCATAATTAGCTGTTCGACTGGTCTCTTCCCTCTGCTTTGCTGTGCAGGTTCTGCAGATACTTTACTGAGGACATATTTCCCAGATGGAATGAGTGAATCCTTGATAGCGTACCTGCTGTACGGTGTGCTCAAAGCATTGGAATACCTGCACCGGATGGGCTACATTCACCGGTCAGTGGAATGTACAAGACACTATAAAGCTAAACTATAAGACAACATATGTGTTAGAAGGGGAAGAGTATTTGTATCTTTTGTAATGTGTATTTTTTACACCTGTATCTGTCCTCTCAGAGGGGTGAAGGCCAGTCATATCTTGCTGTCAGGGGAGGGGCGTGTTTACCTCTCAGGGCTCCACAGTGTTTACAGTATGATGCGTGAGGGCAAGAGGATGAGGACCGTGTTCGACATGCCCCACCACAGCCCGGCACTGCTGCCCTGGCTCAGCCCTGAACTACTGCGACAGGTCGGTGTCATGCTTCCCCTTCAAAGTGAATTCTGCACATCCCCAGCTCCCCAGATTTTTGCTCTGCCATACCTTGCATGATTCATACTTTAAAATAATTCAATAGTCAGTGAGACTATCTCATGTCTCTATGTTGGTGTTGTTAAACGTTGCATCTGACCAATACGATTGTATGGAGCCTTTGTTTATAGAAAATTCTCTTCTGGAACAAATGATTTCTGGTGTTTTCTTTATTAGTTTATACAATATGATACAAATATTATCAAGTTAGGTTCCTGTTAGCCAAATTTAGGTTATTCATGTAGGTTTGCTAATGATGGCTTTTCAATTCAGTTCAATTTTATTTATACAGTGCCAACTTACAACAACAGTCACCTCAGGGCGCTTTATATTGTAAGGTAGACCCTACAATAATACATAGAGAGAAAAACCGATCATATGACCCCCTATGAGCAAGCACTTTGGCGACAGTGGGAAGGAAAAACTTTTAACAGGAAGAAACCTCCAGCAGAACCAGGCTCAGGGAGGGGCGGGGCCATCTGCCACGAGCGGTTGGGTTTTTAATAGCATTAGCTAACTTCTTGGCTAATCCTAACTGAATAGTCAGACAACATGATTGGTCAGTTAAAATGACCAATGATGATGCAGAAACAACACCAACACAAGGATATCAGATCTTACTAGTGCAGCACTTTGGGAAGACTGTAAACATATGTTTTATTAGCTAAAATTTGCAGATGTTCCCTAGGACAGGTGAGCATGCCACTTCATCAGTGAGTTCCTCGCTTGTTTTCTAAACACCAAGATAGTCCAGTGGTCAAAGTCAAAGTGGCTACATATAAAGTCCCCACAACAATAGCCAAACAAACGTGTATGTGTGTGTAAGAGGGCTCCTCACCCTACACACATGCTCTTTTTTTTAATTCCATCTCCATTTAAGCCGAGTTTTGTTCTATTGGCTGATCAGTAGGATGGTTGAAGGTTCTGTGCTAGATGACAGTATTTAGAGGACCAAATACTGGATCAAAAACATCATCAAAAATTATGTTTGTTTGTTTTTTCTTTCGCTTTTGTTTTGTTTGTTTTTTTAACTAAAATTTAGCCTGTTATACGTCTCCTCTTTGGTGTTGTCCTCAGTAGGACCTGCACGGTTATGGAGTCAAGTCAGACATCTACAGTTTGGGCATTGTGGCCTGTGAGCTAGTCAGCGGCAGGGTGCCTTTCCAGGACATGCCACCCACTCAGGTAATCAGCTATACCCAAACTGCTCTAGAAGAATGTGTAGCTACACATCGTTGTCTATAGTTTGTGTCAGTGTGTGAATCTTGCCACTCAGATGCTGCTTCAGAAGCTGCGCGGTTCCCACTGCTGCCTGCTGGACGTGGCTCCCTTCCCGCTTGGAGAGCTGGGGGGTTTGAAGGTGTCGCGCTCTGGGGTGGACTCCGGCATTGGGGAGAGTGTGGCCACGGGGAGCCTGACGCACAGCACCACTGCTCCTCCCACGGACCGACCTCAAAGCCCCGGACCCAAAAACCACTCTGCCACCCTCCACAACCTGGTCCAGCTGTGTCTGCAGCAGCAGCCTGAGCGCAGGTGATTTCAGTGAATCAGCAGTCAGATGGAATTAAAAAGAAATACAACCACATTCACCTACAGCACAGACACACAGACTTTAATGCTGGTGTTGGTTCTGTTTGTCTTCCAAAGGCCATCAGCATCTGAGCTGCTGACCCACGCCTTCTTCAAGCAGGTGGGTTCCTTCAGTCGGACGTCTTCTTTGAAGGCAAAACTCCAAAAACAGAACAAAGGCAATAAATTTAAAAGAGTAGGCTTTTATTTTGAAAACTTTATGTTTGAGCAGGGACTTTCTGTTCTGTTACAGGTGAAGAGGCACACCAGTGACTCCTTCCTCAGTCTCATGTACCCAGCAGTGCCCCTCGCCAGTCCTGAGGACCCTCCAGTATCCAGCCCCCCCACCCCTTCCTGTCACACTCCAGTGTCAGCCACCGCCGACTCCACTGAGGCCGTTTGGGATTTCTCCTAACTGCAGCATCTACACTTCCATTGACTAGCAAGCCAAACACAAGACAATCAAAGAAAAGCAATGAGGCCAAATTCTACTGTGCTTTTAATTTTTATTATTAACCCAACTCTCTGAGCCTTTTTAAATTGTTTTTGTAGCTTTTTTTTTATGCTTTTTGAAGGCGACTTTTTGGGTCACAGAGTGGTGAGGCAATTGTGAAAGTGCTGGAACAAAGAAGCTGCTCTGATTTTATAGTAACGATAATAATGGGCCGTCAGCGAGCGAAAGGAATAAGAAAAAAACAAGTTGCTTGCTAATAATCACGCACTTCCTCTGAGATAAAAGCCCCCCCTGTTAACAGTTGTGCATATGTTTGTGAGCATTTTGTTGTTTTTAAAATGTTATATCCATGTTTGCATTTTTTCTTTCAGGTGGGTGACTCTGGTACAACCAAGAAGTTATTTCTTAATAGTAACCACTTTTTGTAAGATATCATGTTTGTGTTGAATTTTCTTTAAAGTGGACCTATTATGCTCTTTTACAGCTCCATAGAGTTCCACTGCATGATTCACAGTTCAAAGTCTCCCTTATTTGTCTCATCCTGGGCTTTTGTGCTACTCCTCTGTTCATGTTGTGTCTACAATTGACCATTTCCATTCTACTTAAGCCTATTTTGTTCTGACTGGCTGCCCTTCGTTAACTCCTCTGTGTTCACAACCTGGGATGACGGTATTACTTTAACATGATACAAATCCAAGAATAGAAAAAAACAAAATAGGTCCACTTTAAGGCACTGTGTTTTTAGACTGTGAATAGTGAAAGGTACACTACGTGAGATTTAAACATATGTGCATATATATTCATCTGTGTTAGAAATGTTCAAGTTTTCTTCAGTGACAAAGTAAGGCAGTAGAAGTTGCCTTTATACTCATGCAAACAGAAACTGCTGATATCTAATCCGGCAAGCTTTTAACGGTTGTTTTGCCAAAGCGTAAAAAATACTGTACAGCCAAAAAAAGATTAGTCTGCATACCAGTTAGCTTGCCTGCAGCGAGCTAGTTTGTTTCATGGCAACTCTTTATTAAATGTTTTGTTGACACCAAATTTTAAGAAAAGTTCTTAAATTGAGGCCTTGGTTATTCCCTATATATATATATATATATATATATATATATATATATATATATATATATATATATATATATATATATTGTTGACATATACTTATTTTTTTATATTCAAAAATTAAACTCTTTGGTTTTACCACAGGTTACATTGTTTAAAGAGCAGAACAACAAAACAACACATCCACAATCAGCTGTGTAAATACATTCCTGCTGTAGGCTTGAACATATATGCACATAGAGTTCCTGTATAGTATCCTTAAAACCTGTCATAAATCGGGAGGGGAAGGGGGGGGGGGGACTGTGCTATGAACAATAGAATACATGAGCAATAGAATATATCTAGTGTTCCATGTAGTAGTTAGAAACCACAGGTAGAAATAGAAAAACAAAGTTTCCTGTCCCAATCATGGAAAGAAGATTTCTACTGTGCTCTATGACCACTTCTCCAATAATGCCTTTCTGTTTTACTGAACCGTGCATTTAGAATACAGTGATCTCTCTGTAACTGTGATTAAGTGTACTGTGTATGAAAACTGTGACTTACAGTACATATCAAATATGGTAGCTGTATGAGCCTTATATATACATGTGTTATAAAATGATACCGAATGTTTTGCCAACTTGTGGTCATAAATCTTTTTGCAGTTTTTGTCTTTTGGTGGTGTGATGGTTGGCACTGTTGCCTCACAGCAACAAGGTCCCAGGTGGGTCAAACCTACCAGCTGCGGCCTTTCTGTGTGGAGTCTGCATGTTCTCCCTGTGCCTGCATGGCTTTCTTTTAGTACTCCAGCTTCTTTCCACAGTCCAAAGACATGCATCTTAGGTTAAGTGGTGATTATAAAATATGTTATGTGTATGTTAGGTAGATAAAGTGCTTTAAGTCATAGAATAAAGCACTGTATGAATGTATGGTGAATGCGACACTCTGAATGTGAGTACGCTGCATTACGTTGTGAGAGACATATTTAATACTAACAAATAAATTTAGATGGTTATTTTTCAAACTTCAAGAAAATTGAGTAGCAAAGTGGTCTGTTATTATATGCAATGCTCTCTCAAAGTTAGGTAGGTACTAGAGGGAACTCCAACAGGTCTCATAGATGTTCTGCTGATCATCTTGGAGGGACGCTTGGCAAGTGTGAGGAGAAAGGACTCCCTTTTAACAGGAAGAGACTCCCAGCAATGCACAAGCTACAGAAGTCTGTGAAGGTTCTCAGTCATCCAGGTCATCGTAGTCAAAGGAGCTTGCAAAGAAAAGCGTCTGGACTTCTTTAAGTTACTTGAAGACGTTTCACCTCTCATCCGAGAAGCTTCTTCAGTTCTAAGGTCAAATGGTGGAGAGTCCCAGATATAAACCTAGTGGGAGTAACCCCCCTGCTACAGAAGTAAGAAGCAAACGCAAAGCAGGAGATGAAGCATGGCTGAATATGTTTCCAAACCAACTTCATTCTAAGCCAAAGACTAGAAAATATGGTGAAGCATATCTTCCCTTTGGCTTCACCTGCACACAAGTGCCAAGGTAGGTCTCCCCTGCAGAATTGGTTTTCCCTTCATCGGGAGAAGCACTGGGCTGTTCAAATCACGGACAAACAGTATCCCACATTCTTGATTTTTAGTTCACAAACACTTGTTGTAATGACTAACTACTCCTGACATATCAGGCTGATCCTGCCACGATTTGTTCCCTCGCTTCAAATCAGGGACAAACATTATCCCACAGTTGTTTGTTTTTAAACCCACCTTGCACAGAGAGGCATTTTTTGAAAAATGTATTATAGCAATGTTGAATATTATTACACAGGAAAAAAAACAACTACGCTTAAAATAATTACACCGTGCCGCCTCTGCCTTTCTAAATGGAAAGACAGTAACTGCGTGTGTATATGTAAGTGTGTAAAACCTGAAGATGGTAAGATTAACAGTAACAGTATTTTGTCTCTATCTGCCATTCTGCAATTCATCTCATGTAAACAATAACGTGGCGCACAGCGTGACGTGAAAAAAGGCACATACCTTTGGTGACCAACTCTGTATTCCTCGTCCACGTGGAGTTTTAAAAAAAATCTCCGTTTTCGGTGATTGGAAACGCCGTTTACGTGTGGACGAAACAGCTGCGTTTTCAAAAATACCCGTGTAGGTGTGGACGTAGCGTAAAAGAGTTAGTAGTTTACTTTCTTACTACCTGTAATTTATTGCAGATTACTTGTATTTGCTTAATTGTTTGCTAAATGTTTAAGTTGTGAAATAAACCGCAATGGAGCAAAATATGGGTGTGTGTGGTTGGAGGATGTGTTTGTGCGTGTGCGTGCGCACGGGGGGGGCGAACATTTTTATTGTAAAACAAAGGGGGGCCTAGCAAAAAAAGTTTGGGAACCACTGTATTAAGCAAATCTGTCCACAGGATCCATTTTTCCATTCCAACCTCTCCACCACCACGGGCAAGCACAAAGGGCTGTCAAAGGATGTCAAGGCCGAGATTGTAGTTCTCCACAAGGCTGGAATGGGCTACAAGACCATCAGCAAGAAGCTTGGTGGGAAGATGATCAGTGGTCAGACAAAACCAAAATGCTTGGAGGAAGCAAAATGGTGACTATGATTCAAGAAACACCATTCCCACAGTCAAGCACGGAAATGGAAATATTATGCTTTGTGGCTGTTTTTCTTCTAAGGGTACAGTACAGCTTCAATCCATTGAGGGAAAAATGGACGGAGCCATGTACTCTTTAATCTTGGATGAATACCTCCTTCCCTCAGCCAGCATGACAATGACCTAAAACATACCTCCAAGGCCACAAAGGAGTGGCTAAAGAAGCACATTAGGGTCATGGAGTGGCCTCAGGCCTGACCTCAGTCATGCAGAATTTTCTGTGGAGAGAGCCAAAGCTTTAAGTTTATGACAGCCAGGAAACCTAAAGGATTTAGAGAGTTTCTGGAAAGAGGAGTGGGCCAAAATCCCTCATGAGATGTGTCCAAACATGGCGACCAACTACAAGAAACGTCTTAGAGTTGTGCTTGCTAACAAGGATTTCTCCTCCAATAATAACTCATTTTTGCTTGGGTAGCCAATACTTATTTCACTCATTAACCCCCCACGACGCATTTAAGTGATAGAAGGAACATCAATTATTATTGCTATTACTACTATTACTATTATTATTATTATTATTAGTAGTAGTAGTAGCGGCAATATTAATTCTTTCTGCATATGACCATTTCTAGAGGTCTGAAAATTGTAGTTTTTCTCTGCTCCACTGAGCGGCAATAGAATATCAAAACAAACAGACCGTAACCCAACCCCTAGCAACCACGTAGGTCCACATCGACAACGTAAGTGAGTGAAAACTGTCGCAAATACTCTGAATAGTGTCATATACATCAGAAGCATATTTCGTCACTGTTTAACAGCTTCATTTTTAAACGATAAGTAAAAAAAACACACCCTTGCCTTCATGAACGCCTTCGAGTGGCTCGTTTTTGTATTTTCGTGCTAGACGCTGCAGTCTCTTGTTTATCCGGTTCCCCCACCAAATTAAAATCCCCTTTTACGCTTGTTATACTGTACACAGTATATGAAGTACTGAGAAGTAAAGTCTAGTTTAATAAAAGTACAATATTACAATATTCCTTTTTACACTTGCTTTTGCTTTGGACTACATATTAGGCATGTCTTTAGTTCTTATAACTATAGGAACATGTTGTTATTTCGAACCATTACACTTTCCTAAATGGTACTATATGCCTACTATGACAGCAAGATAGACCACAACCCTCCATTTAGGGAGAGTAAAATTGTGGCTCCCTTGAAATAAACATCATATAAACTTAATAAGCTCCTTATAGTGTTATATTTAGCTTTTTATGTGTAATTATTTTAGTTTCATTAAAGTATTCTACTTTATTTATGACATTTTGATTATGAAGGTGTTTACAGTTTTGGCAGCTGTAACACCGGTGTTTTCCAAATTTTGGAGCTAAATAAAATATGTTTATTTTATAGAAATCAGTCGACTCTTATTTTTGAAATAAGTCAAAGCGTTAGTCCACAGGAAGTCGCTGTGCGTCCTTGTTGTCGGACGCTGGACGTAAAACCAACTACCCTGGAAACGGTGTCAGTGACAGTTGGTCTTTTCTTTGCACAGGTGAGCGGTCTGCAAGTTATCGATAGGTCTATTTTTATTTCTGGTGTTTTTATCGGTTTATTACTTTCATGTGAACCCTCTGTAGCCGGGCAGGCATTGGCGGATGAAGCGTTTGTGTCACATGAGGAGGAGGAGAAATGGTGGCTTAAAAAATAGAAAAAGGCTTCTTTTTTTTGACAGACAGCTAGCTTATAGCGAGCTTGGTCAGGTAAGGTTAACTACACAGCAGTGTTTGCCCAGGGTGGCCGAAGAGACTGTACGGAATACGCTAGTTATTCAGCTTATCAGAAGAGCACACAGTAGAAAATAGGCATGTGTATATGTATGTGTTTTGTCGCGTAGTTGACCGCCACAGTACATCTGAGCTCGGAGCCAGCTGGGCTGCTCAAAGTACACAGGGAGTAACGTTACTGAAAGTATTTTGTTGCTTGCGGTCGATAGCCTTGCCATTTGGCTTACAGTGACCAAACATCCGCCTCCATCATATGCAATTGTCTGTGTTGTTATCCTTCATAGCGCAAACGCTGCTGGGAATACCTCCAAGAAGAAGAACCGGGAGGGGAAAAAAAGTGGGAGTCGAGGCCCAGCTGCTCCAGAAATTCCAGCTATTGCACTCCGGGGGCTTCACATTTCTCCTTTGCCATGGAATATATTTTTTAAAAGTCTCCCTCTATCAGGCTGTTGCCTCAACACGTTGCACAGCTTTCCCCACTCTTTTTAAAAGGACTATCACACCTTTGTCAGAGTTGGTAAGTCATGAGCAATGAAGCCGTTTAGCTCATGACGGGGAACCATGAAGCAACCAGGGAAGTGACCTCTGTGGACACCGCAGCCCGAGGGTGCCCCTCACTGGCACCATGGCATCCAACGA